AACATTCCCGTTTTCTTTTCCTTCGGTAGAAAACTAAGCTAATATTTTCTTTTCCGTTGCAAGAAAACATTCAAGCTGTCAGACTGCCTTCGATTGACGTATCTGCAGGCGCTGTAGTTACACCCACAGGCTGGGGGATCCTGTGTGGCGGTAAGTTTATCTCTATTTGTCTGTCTGTGTCTGTTTATCTGTCTGTGTGTCTGTCTGTCTACTTGTCTTTCTGTGTCTGTCTCTCTGTTTGTCTTTAAGTGTATGTCTATTTGTCTTTCTGTCTTTCTGTTTGCCTGTCTTTCTTATCCTCTCTCTCTGTCTCTCCCTCTTCTCTTATCTCTCTCTCTCTCTCTCTCTCTCTCTCTCTCTCTCTCTCTCTCTCTCTCTCTCTCTCTCTCTCTCTCTCTCTCTCTCTCTCTCTCTCTCTCTCGCATGTGAATAAGAATGAATATCTTCACAACTCGACATGTATTTGACCGGTTTCGAATACATCTTCGTCAGAAATACATAACATATTCGAAACCAACCAATTCCATCTCTTGTATTGCGCATATATTCATCCCCACGCATAACCCCTTTCTCTAAAACCTTTGTTATCTATGGTATGCGCAAAAGAATCAGTTCGGATATAATGATAATTCCTTTCGTGTACCTTTCTATATAATCTTTGTTATCTATGGTATACGCAAAAGAATCAGTTCTGAAGCTATAATGAAAAATCCTATATAATATAATGAAAACTTTCCCTATTTCCGTTATCTATTTTCGGTTTATCCCTAATGTTAGACCTCCTTTTCCTTTCCTCCCTCCCCTCTCTCTCTCTCTCTTTACCTTTCTCTAAAATCTTTGTTATCTATGGTATACGCAAAAGAATCAGTTCTGAAGATATAATGAAAACTCCTTTCGTGTCTTGTTCTCTACTAAAACCTTTGTTATCTATGGTATGCGCAAAAGAATCAGTTCTGAAAATATAATGAAAACTCCTTTCGTGTCCTTGTTCTCTAAAACCTTTGTTATTTATGGTATACGTAAAAGAATCAGTTCGGATATAATGAAAACTCCTTTCTGTACCTTTCTCTAAAACCTTTGTTATCTATGGTATACGTAAAAGAATCAGTTCGGAAAATATAATGAAAACTCCTTTCCTGTACCTTTCTATAAAATCTAATTTATCTATGGTATGCGCAAAATAATCAGTTTGGAAAATATAATGAAAATTCCTTGTTCTCTGCAGACTCGAGTGGTGTCCCTCCCGGCGCCCTCCATCAGGCAGACGTCCCGGTTCTGTCCAAAGACGAGTGCGAGGCCGCTTATGCAGGGGTCGGCGACGGCGTTCTCTGCACCGTCGGCGGGAAGGACTCTTGCACCGTGAGAATATGAGCTGAGATGTCGTTGCTGATAAGGATTATAATATTTATAGTGTGAATCTAAGGAGGCTGTTTTATTTATTTATTTATCTATTTTTCATTATTATTATTATTATTTTTTTGAAGGGAGACGAAATTGTCATTGCTGATAAGGCGTATGATATGCCATTTATTCATATATAAACCCTTTTTCTTTCTTTTTTTAAGGGGAGACTAAACTTCCGTCATAAGAGAGGACATCTAATAGGTATATATCTATTTTTCAAGGGTGACTCCGGCGGCCCCCTCAACCTCAACGGCATGACCTACGGCATCACCTCCTTCGGTTCCTCCGCCGGCTGCGAGAAGGGCTACCCCGCCGCCTTCACCCGCGTCTACTACTACCTGGACTGGATCCAGCAGAAGACCGGCGTCACTCCTTAAATGGACGAGGCATTAATGATGTTTTTTACTTACTTTCTTTCTTTCTTTTTTTTCTTCATTTTTCTTTTCTTTTTTTTTTTACTTTTTTATTTTCTCTTTTTCCATTCTTTTTCTTTTTCTTTTTCTTCTTTTCTCTCTTTTTTTTTACCTTTACTTTTCCTTCTTTTTTCTTCTTTTCTCTTTTTCTCCCTTTTTCTTTCTTCTTTTCTCTTCTTTCTCTCTTTTTCTTTATTTTTTCTTTTATTTTTTTTTCTTTCTTCTTTTCTCTTCTTTCTCTCTTTTTCTCCCTTTTTTCTTTCTTCTTTTCTCTTCTTTTCTCTTTTTCTCCCTCTTTTCTTTCTTTTCTCTTTCTTTTTCTTTCTTTTTTCTTCTTTTTTCTTTTTCTCCCTTTTTTCTTTCTTCTTTTCTCTTCTTTCTCTCTTTTTCTTTCTTTTTTTTCTTCTTTTTTCTTTTTTTTTTACTTTATGTTTTTTCTCTCATTTTCTTTCTTTTTTCTTTTTCTTTTCTTTTTTTTGAACTACATGTACAGGCGTTGCGAAGAACACACCTTGAATGCATTTCTTTCTTTCGTCCATCATGTATACGAGTTGTGAAGAATTAAGACCTAGATTTGATATAAAGTCTTATCAATATTTGAGATTCCAATTGCTTAAATTCAGGTGCTACGAAGACCTGAGATCTGTATTGATTAAAGCCAGGTGTTAAGAACGAAGACTGCA